TTTCTAAAAAAGAAAGCTCATGGAACGAAAACCCTCGGTTCTCAAATTGCATTTTGGTGCGATATTGACTCAATCATGCTATCAAAAGAATTTGAACCACCTTCGCCACAACTACTCAACGAAACAAAACTATGCAATGATGCATTAAATTCTCATAGAAAAGTGTTAAATGAAAAACTTGCTGTTCTTCCACATAATATTAGAAAAATGCAATTATATTTACGATTTAAAGATAAATATGTCACATATCATTCGGTTTTATATGGTAATCGTTTTCCATGCGTCAGCTATTTAGTTTCATATCGTGATCAACATCAACAAACGCAATATGGTAATATAATTTTGTTTTATTCCCACGACAACGTATATTACTCATTGATACAACAATACATTCTGTCTCCTGTTAAAATATCTGATTATTTAATGATTCCAAATGAACTTAAATCAAGAATTGACTCATTTTATCCAATATGTTATTTAAGTAATGAATTTATTATAATACAAGTTTGTGATATTGTCAGTAAATGTTTATCTGTATCATTTCTGGAATATCTTTGTATTAGTGAAAGACGCATAAGTTACGAACATGATTGAATTTGCCAATATTCTTTGTTCACATTCATGTAATATCTTCATTAGTGTAACTTAAATTCTACTCTACGTCATTTACGGAATTATATGATCTATGTGTTTGTCTAATTAATGGTAATATTTTCTTATGGTGTACAATATTTTCTTTCAATTTGAGATGTTTTCAACAACCAACGATTACCAACGCTCTTATGTGACACAGAGGTCACCGAAGGAAAAAACTAGTTATGCATGTATTACTTATCTTGATGAACCGATGGAATATAGTATCGCCGAATCGAAACGTTTCTTGCATGTCAACGAGGACGGTTTTGGAATTATCAAGGAATTCAGGAAATCATATAATGTTCACGTAGAGCAAACGGGTATGTAATCAATTTGCATTTTATAAATCTTATTTTAATCTATATCGTTTTTCATTCAGGTACACAAGCATCAATGGAGCGCTATGGTCTATTACTAGAACGAGCAATGAAATCCCAGATGCATGAAGAAGTTCCATCTGACTGTGAAGATTGGAAAAGAAAAAAACAAAAAGAAAATCGATTGAAAAATTCAACAACAACTGTGACATCAAATCCAGTATCGACCATACGTGAAGAACGACAAAGTATAGATGCAATAATATATAATCTACTTGATATATGAGTATGATACTTCTAGTGACTTCTTCGAATGAACTGTTATCTATTATTGCTTCTGGTGAGTCGTTTACAATAACATCTTTCAGGCATGTCTTATTCTATTATTAGACGATGAGATATCAACTATCAATGAGAAATCTGAAAAAGAAAAATTATCTTCACTATCTTGCCAGTATGATTCTATAAATGTTAAATCTGTGTCGAGTTCAAAAATTCGAGTATTAGGTAATGGGAAGATTTTACTTTGATCAATCTTATCCTTATTATTTTTGCAAGAAAAAGAACGTGAACAGTGTTCGCCAAATTTTGATGATGATGAAGTAGAGGAAGACAAACAATTAAGTTTATCATCTGATGACGATGATTTCGATCCAAATGTGTCGTCGAATTCAATGAAAAATCAACACAAGTTATCTTTTTCAAAAAAACGTTCAAAAAAACAAACAGCAAAACTTCCAATTGTTAAGCGTTTACGCTTTTCAACGCATGACGATGAAGAAGAAAAAAATGAACGATTAGATATCGAACAAGTTCTGAGTCTTGTGAAAGAGCTAAATGAGAATGTTCTGAAGATAGAAAATAGACAAATTCAAACAACCATTGCTTTAGAACGTCAGAACAAGTTTTTAAAAGTTTTATGTAAAAATCAGAAAAAATTGGCTAAATGTTTTGCTCGGCATAAAGTAAACTAAACATAGAACGTTACTTATTTGTTTCATTTCCAAGTACATTTTTAGATTCCTGTTTGTCTTGAAGATGATGATAAAGAACTACAATTAAATGATGAACAACGAAATAATTCTACTGTTGTATGTATTTAGACGCATATAGTACCTCATATTAAGAAATACTCAAACATATATTATTTATATAATGTCTTTTCTGTCTTCCTTTAGACATATGAACGAAGCGACGGTAATGTTATTGATCTTTTAAAATTACAAGGTACCAAGCAACACACTGTGAAATATGCTTTAAAACTGATTGATGTATTATTTATCGATAAATATGAATTTCAAAACCTCAACGTAAAAAAAGCTGATGAAGATTCAAGAATAAAGAAAATATGAATGAACGTTTTATTCATTATATGTTGCACTCTGTCTGACTTTTAGATGCAGTGGAACATAAATTTGGTTATTCATCTGACGAGATGTCAATTATCTGACCACCAATTCATGACTATCTTGAGTAAAAGAAGAAACCAACAAAAAACTTTACATTCAAAAAGAACCACAGGTAAATTTTGATTTTAGTTGTTATCCTTCAGCTGTCGAACATTAATCATTTTCTTGATGTATAGGTACACTTAGTCAAAATCTTTTATCATCACAAATATCTTCTCAAGAAGCAATTTAACTTTTAAAATTTTGATGAAACAGATTAAGGACACTATGATATTTTATTTGTTGCTAATACGAAAAAGATAACCCAGTATAAATATACAATCTTCTTTTGTATGAAAATTGTTTTGTGAACTTAGCTGATAGTGTATTTATATTGTATTTTATTATATTGGTTGTTTTTATTCCCACACATTGTGCTAAACTGTCACGTTTTATGAAAAGTGCTTTTATTATTTCCTGAAAACCATTTTCTGATCAAAAGATTATTAGTAATAAATTCAGAAAAAGTAATACATATACACACTATGAGATAAAATATACCCGTCACATTATTGATTTATCAATATTCAATTAAAAATTGCTCGACAATCGCGATTTTTTATCAAAATCGGGGATAAATCGACAAAAATCACCAGTTTTGGCGATTCAATCGCGATATAATTTCACGTTTATCGGACTGTAATATCGCGATTTAATCGTCGATTTTAGCACAATTCCTATGACATGGGCTGCTTTCAACATTGAAACAAATATCCGTCATCTTCAATTTCCTTAAAAGTCTTCCGCTATGACCTATCATAAAGTCGCTAAAATCCAACGAATTCGCTTCAGCGGGTACAACAGTGGTTTAGATGAACTTGTCCTTGCAATGGTCCCTAGACCTAGTTGCTTCTATATTTAATGATAGTCTGCTAGGATTACTAAGGCTTGTTGAGAACAGGTTTACCGCGATACGTGTATTTTTCAGTAAAGTCAAGTAACAACTCTCATACTGACTATTCTAGTGACTTCATGGGGAATTTGAATTTGCGGCAAATTCAAAATGCTTATGCCATTATACCGCTGTACTGCTATAGGGTGTACCGGAAGCTAGATGTAACATATCCGTTACAGAGACAGTGAAGCAGGGGGAAAGGGTATCTCGTCACACCCACACTAGGCACCCCGTCGTACTGTATAGTAGTATAGCGGTATACTGCTTATACCGTTATACCACTGAAGTTTTTATTTTGCCACAAATAGAGATGATTTTAATGGATTCGATTTTGCCACGAATTCATATTCCTCATCATATGATTCTAGTGTTCACTTAAAATAAATGTGGAAACTTCGGATTTCATCCGAGAGTTATGTGTACTGCAAAAAGTAGATGGGACATATGAGTCATTCTAAAATGTCTGAACACCAAAATTATCATGAGAAACTAGGCACTTTGGTTTCTGGATGCAGTTTTTTGTCCATTTTGAGACCGTTTTCAGGCGATGTTTCGTCAGAAAGTTACGATTTAGTTCCAAACTAGTATTAAATTCGGAATCAACGTTAAAAACTGAGTCGATTTATATATGTTGTGAATAATTCTGAGAAAATGTTTTTTTGAAAAATCCCTGTACTCCCCCTCAGGGATGGTCTGATCAAAAATGACAATTTTTTCGACAACTCAGCCATTTCTTGACGGATCCTTCTCATCTTCGAACTCGACCTAGATATTGATAAGACAATTCTGTGCACAAAATTTCAGCTCAATCGAATGTAATTGTGAAGAGTTATCGAATAAACGGACGGCCGGCCGGACACACTGACCGATTCTATAGTGTACTCTATTTTTTTTGAGTACACAAAAAACAATCTGAAATATCTGAAACTGATCGACAGAAAAAGTTACACGAAATTGAAAACTTAGCACGATTACGCTAATCAAGATAAACGATTCGATGGAACGATCGATTCAACTAAATAAGAAAAATAGCTGTACTGCATAGAAGAGCATGGCACGGTACGTGCGAATAAAAAACTAAAATTCAGAGTAGTAACAAGGCAAAACAAGAAAAATAAATCTAACTTAGCTCAACGAATCAAATGAAAAAGGATAACTTGAGACAATGATCAAAAACTGAGCAGCAAGGTGCTATTAGATGAGTGAAAGAGCTATTCTGATGTGCTGCTACCACAAAGCATTTAAACAAAATTAGCTCATGAGAGAAGCCACAGATAGCTTGTTAAAATAAGTCACTAAAATAAATAAATGACCTAAGTACTTCTATGAATAAAATGTTAAAGTTCATTAAAGACATAGAAATTAATTTTTATAGCTTTAAGAAACTGAATGAATCAAACTAACAACGAAACAGTAAATGTGATTTTAGTAACAAAAAAGAAACCGTTAGTGTCCGACGGCAATTTCAAAGGTATTTACGCAGTTTAAATGCAGCTACCGGGAATAAGTGAAAATTATTTAAGAATGAAACAAGAAACGTCTGAAGCTAAAATCAAATAACTAATAAAACTAAAATAACTTTATGTATGTTACTGTTAAAAGTTTGACGACATCAATCGAGAAAAAACAGCATGCGGCTAGTTCGAACTAACTAAATTGCATATGAAAACTTTTATTCAAAAAAAGAATCTTTTTTTCTCAAACAACGTGTTAAAAAAGTTCTTAACTTTAACAAGACTAAGCATGAAAAATTTCATTGCAACAAACGATGACTTCATCATCATTCACAACGTTTAAACGTCTTGAATTTTAACAAAACTCAGCCTGAGAAATTTCATGTCATCAAATACCCAGGACGATGATTCCGGGGTCCGGATCCTGCAGGAAACAAAAGGAAACGGCCTTTTCCCCGGTTAATTCCACTAAAATACAGAGTGTTTCCCTCCGGAACAGCCCGAAAAGCACTCGGCAAATGGAAGCAGGATTCCGGACCAGAAATCACCGTAACGGATCCATAACTTCCCAACAAAATCCATTTGACCGGATCCACCCGGAAACCACCACATACGCAATGAACTCCTTCAGAGAACTACCATATCCGCGATGGACTATTTAACGAAACTTTCTGTATCCGGTCTGACACCGTCCAGAACTACAGCATACCTACGCTGCATCACACTCAGGAGGAAGATTACCGTGACCGTAGGGGTTCCGGAACTTCGCCAACAAGACTTTCGCCAATAATTGGCGAATTTCTCTGAGATATATTGGCGAAAGTCCATTGAACTTTCGCCAATTGGCGAATACCCACAGAGATAATCGACGAAAGTTATATAGATTTTCGTTAGTGAAAGTGGAATATTCATATCGTAAGTGAAGTAGAAGAGGTATATCTAACATTATTAAAATGTAGCTCGAGTTATACAGTTGGAATTCATTCAAATATGATCATATCATTTTTGAGATCCAGTATGCTAGAGTAGAAAAACGAAACAATGAATACGATGATGTTAAACGATGCGAGACGAATAAAGAACAGAAATAACAAATAGAAAAAAATGCCTGAATAAGATAAATAAAAAATCCATCACGAAACATTTATTCACGAGCTGGTGAATCACATGATGATGAATGAGATGAATTCGAATTTGATACATTATGTTTCTTTTTCTTTCCTTTTTTTCCTCGACAAGCCGGTTCACCAACAAGATAGGCAAGTGACATTGTTATTTCAATTAAAGATCTTTGTTTTGAATGTAATAAATTTAACAGTTTCTGTATTTGTTTAGTTTTGCGTGCTGCAGCATAAGTAGACTTTTTTGGTTTAGTAGATGAAAAACCAAGACCTGTTTGTATCATTCTATGCGATATGACGCTCTCCTCTTGTTTTAAACACTGGATGAATCTCCATAAATTTGGATGCGGTTGAGCAACTCGTGTAAAGAAGCGTCGATTTTGCGCTAGAAAATAAACATTGAAATATGGATAATTCATCTAGTCATGTTTCCATGAAAACGATAGTAAAGTATTTTTTTACCCTCAGCAAAATTATTTGTTCTCCAAGTGCTGTTACTAACGGACCATGTTGAAGGTTTAAAACTATTCAACCATTCACTTTCGAAATATACAGCAAATATCTTTAATTGTTCGGCTTGGGGCGATACGTGTACTTTTTTTTTCAACAGTTCATACCCATTAGGAATAATATCAATAGGCAGAAGAGCTAATGCCATAAAAGAACGTAGTAAATGTCTTGATTCTGGATCGTTTTCATAAAGGCTCATTAATCCTATTCTTTGTATGTTACGATAACACGATTGACAAAAATGGAACCAACACCCCGTCACAATTGTGTTTGGTAACTAAGTCATGTAAATATAGAAGTAAATATTTTTTCCACATCCTGTATAAAATGAAAAAAATCACATACTTCTTTTGCTACAGCATTCATGAAGGCCCTTTCGAAGTCACAAACAATTGTTGTTGGTTTCAAATCAACCCCTTTTTTATAAGATAACTTTTTCAAAGAACGAAAAATTGATTCATAAGTTTCTTGGCGTCTATTTGATGTTAAAACGAAGCAGACAGGTACGGCTGGAAAAAATGAGAAACATGAATAGAAGAAGAATAAATTTCGTTCTTAATTAGCGCAATATCATTTATATAGAGAGACAGCATCTCTTTCTTTTCGCAGCTATTGCACGTGCATTCTTTTATCTGTATGACTAATACCCATATATATTTATTTTTCCGCTCTCTCGTGTTGCTCTCTATTCTCTCTTATATATTCTCAAAGTATTAATTGGACAGAAGAAAAAAATACCTTCTCCATTCTGCATTCCGTGAATTACGTACAACTGTTCGAACAGCTTTGGAGAGACTTTAAAGGTACCATCTGCAAATAAAATATCTGAACTATACAACACATTTAATTGTTCATCCGATGCAAATATCATCAAGCGACCTCCATAAGCATTTTTCCGTTTGTCATATATCAAAAAATTCCCGTTTGAATAGGTGTGTTGATAAGCTGGCGGCACAACAAACTTCTGATCCTGTGGTAATGGTGGAACTGTTTTTCTTCGTAGTTTATGTAGACCAGATTCTATAGAACAAAGAAATATTAAATTGTATAATCGATATTAAAAAACACAAATTAATTTTATTTACCAATGTGAGCAGGAAGAGGCATTGCTCTTTTTTCTTCCACTGATAAATTGCCCTTTCTGTATTCTTCTTCAACAATAATTTTAATTGGAATATATTCATCAAGAACACGATTTTTTATTTTGACTAAAATATTACGTTTTCTTATCTCGTATGAATCAGATTCGTGGCAGTGAAACGTTCCATTCCAATGATCAAATTCACCTGTTACTCTTGAAGTATGAATAACGGCTTTACAATTCATATCTCTTCGTGCACATCGCCAACCAATACTTTGCTTGGCCGTACTCATATACAAGTAGCCAAACCCATTCATAAACACCATTTTACCCCCACGAGTTGATGTACCAGTTGTTATATCTCCCTTGATTATCGGCACGTTGACAAGAGCATTTGAATCACCAAGAGAAATAAAATTTTCATCGTTGTTTGACGTTTCTAATGATATGGTAGAATGATCATCTTCAATTTCTTTTATTGATGCTGTTGTGGAATGCGAAACAGGTGTTGATGTTGATTCAGCCGATGTTGGCGATGAAAATGTCGATTCACAATCTGAAGAATGAAATAGTACAAATTCTTTTTTTTTTCTCTTAAATTATTGTACTTTTGTTTGATGATGGTGAAATACAGGGTTCATTAGCAACCAAGTTTTCAAGATTCGTATCCAATTCCCTTTCCAATTTATTATCTTCGTGATCAAATTGTTTAATAACTTCAGATGTAGCTTCAGTATCGAAAATTGTTGATTGTTGTCGTGGTATAGAAGAGACTTCAAATTGATCACAAGCCATGCTTGATTGTACTTTAACTTCTTTATGTTTTGATGGACATTTACGAGTTGTTTTCGTAGTCGATGCTGAAGTTGATGTTGTTTGATCCAGTGAAGGTGTTATATCTCTACTAGTTTGCGACCTTAATGCTGCAGCACGAGTAGTTACAGGCATTTAATTAATAGTAGTTATCTGAAAAATTAGAAATACAAACATAAATATCAAACTTCTTACTAAGATATTGATTTGATCATATACTGAGGACGTCATACTTTGTACTGGTTCACGCATAACCGTTATCCGTCATCCGCTTCAAATAAAATCTAAAACTATGAATAAAACTTTTAACTACATCATAGATGAATATCTACTAATAATACAGTTGACGTCAATATCTTTAATCAACACTATCGTCACACTTAAACTTCACAAAGTTCACTGGATGTTCGCCAATAGGCGAAAGTACAGTGGGTATATTGACGAAAGTTCACTGGAAGTTCGCCAATTGTCGAAAGTACAGGGGGTATATTGGCGAAAGTCCATTTTGCGAAAGTCCTATTGGCGAAGTTCCGGTAACCCTGACCGTAAACGGTCGTCAACACTATATTCACTACCCCGGGTCGGTCAATCCCACAATAAGATCTGATTGGAAGCAGAGTTGGCACCTGTTACGGGCTGATGCCCTCACATACTATTATTCTCTTTTCATGTATTCTTCTATCTGGTCATCCGCCACATCTATCGGTGTTGTCTTCTCGAAGGAGGAGAGATGTGTGCGTTATCTATTGTTTGTTTTCTCCTTTTTGTTTATTGTTAAGCTAGTCAGTTATCGTTTTTCTCAATAAAGAGAAGGGTGAAGATATCACCCCTAACAGCACCCCAGGATCGAAATCCAATGCAATATTACAGCAGAAAACCGATTGATAACAACCATCATTCAACTGTCGGATGCCAGGGCGCAATCGATGATGCCGGATTCGCATTCGTCGACCTCGATAACCTATTACAAACTTACCTCAGAATTTAGCTGGGAGTTGAAATAAAAAATCTACCTTTACAGCTTTTGGCTTTGGGATGGATCTATTTTCTGATCAATGGAAGTCCATCTAGAAAAACTAACTACATATTCGGGTTGCTGGACCTCGATAACCTATTACAAAGTGTCATCAGAATTTAGCTGGGAGTTGAAATAACAAATCTAACTTTTCAAATTTTGAATTTCCGTTTACGGCAGTTTCTGACCAGCTCGTTATACTCGTAGGGATATGGCGTAGTGAGTGACTGGTGTGATTTGGTCAAAGGTCAATAACATTAGAATGTAGCGCAACTATTTGCTGGTATCGGTACGTGTCCGAACTGTTTGAGGGGGAGATGGGCTTGGAATATGCTTGAGGAAGCGGTTTGGATACCGATACGGTTGACATAAATGTCTTTCCGTTTTTGAAATTCTCGGGAAATTTGTTGGAAACGTCGGAGATACTCTTACGGAAAGCGGCGTAAAAATTCTGTCGAAGATCCACTCGTTTCCAACTGTTTCCGTGTTACTACGACGTGTATGTGCATCACAAAAGGAACCGCCCGCATTTTTTTCCTGAAATTTTCCCGGTGTTTCCGTTGTGATATGAGTGGAAAGATGGTGGAAATCCGTTCGGAATACTGCTTCCGTGAGATCGCGGGAATGTCCGGGAACCGGCCATTTCCGGGACCGGAATGTTCGACCTGAGAAATTGAATCGCTGCTCTTCTTGTTATCAAATAACCGTGAATAGATCGCATATATTAATCTCCCTCGATTTCTTTTCAATATTCTAAAACGAAACATGACTGTCTTATTTATTTATTCAATCAATAATAAGAACAGACAATTATTTATTCAGCGATTAATAACAGATTGCTCAGAATGAAAACCGAATCATGTTCTTAAAAAGACATTAAGCGAATCAATTAAATTAATAATCATAAATGAATCTCATTTTTCATTTATATTTTTATACATCGAAAAATTAATTCAGAATAATAATTCCTTCTAAAACATTTGATTTTGCTTAGATGGAAATGAAAAATCAAAGACTCGAAACTCTTCTAATGAGACAAAAAAAGAATAAAAATAAAAATTAGTGATGATTTATATTTTAGTCATAGAAGCAACATATTGCAAATGAATAGATAAATAAAATTTTAAACCAAACTATTTTCATTTGATTCTTTTATTTAAATTTTAATCAATTTCTAATATTCAATTGAAATAGATCAGATCAATGTAGTTCGACTTTAAAGGACGGGGGTGGATATGCTAGCAAAAACGGCCCTATTTGGAAACCATAGTGAAACCCCTATTAACTATACATAGTTCGAAAAGAAATAAATACAAAACGACGAATCAATAAAAATTTCTGCGAATCTTCCACTTTTTTCCTGCGAGCCAGGTGATATCTCTTATACGGCTTATACAAGAGCTATATACGGGATAACTTGACTATATAGT